ATTTTGGGGTTGTCCTGTGCAGGGCTAGGAGCTGGACTCAGTGATCCTCGTGGGTGCCTTCCAACCCAGGATATTCCATGATTCTGTGAGCTGAGGGAAGGAGGTTTGATCCATTCCTAGGGAAGAGAGTGATGCTGGAGAAGGAAAAGCACAAGGAGGGGCTGCCTCTGCCATCAGGTGCTTGGTGTTTTGGGAGCCACCAGGGTGTTGTGGTGAGGCTGGGTAAGAGTCCAAGGAAAGCAAAGAACTGCTGCAGGTGGATTTTTTGGAATTCTTTGAAAAGTAAAACCTCCTGTTGTGGACTTGGCAACTGCTAAGGAGAATTCATCCACCAAAGCACTAGTCCATGGCACGTGTGGTTCACCTGGAGATCCTTCCCATGAGATAGCACTTCTCATCTAGGTCCCATCTGGCAGAGGTTCCCTGAGAGTGATTAGGGCTGATGAAATGCCAGTGAGAAAGATCATGGAATTATAGAACTGTTATGCTTGGAAGGGACCTTAAAGATCATTCCCTTAAAGACCACCATGGAAGAGACCCCACGGATGTGGTGTTCTCAGGAAGGACATAACTGTGTTCTCTGCACAGAGATGTGGTTTTTATAGATGTCACTAGCAACAGAGGAACTGGACCAGCTCCCACAGACCTCATCTACTCTCACAGCTCAGCTCCCAGAGAAACCCATCCCGTAGGGGCAGCTGCACAGAGCCCCTGTGCCCTGGCACACTCAGCTTCTCCTCTTCTGGACAGAAATCCCTGGCATGATACAAGGATTTCAAGTGACAGCAAGTCATTTGTACCCCAGGCAACTCATGGAATCCTAGACTGGTTTTGGTGGTAAGGGACCTTAAAGATCATCCAGTTCCACCCCCTGCCATGGGCAGGGACACCTTCCACTATTCCAGCTTGCTCCAAGCCCTGCCCCTGGTCTTAAACACTTCCAGGCATGGAGCAGCCACAGCTTCTCTGGACAGCCCCTACCAGTGACTCTCCACCCTCACAGGGAGGAATGTCTTCCCAATATCCCATCTAACCCTTCCCTCTGGCAGTTTAATACCACAGTATCAACTTTGCAGCATGTCTCTAACTGTAATTTCTCTCATTACGTCTTTGCCTGTGACAGTAAAGAGCCATGAGCTAATATAAATCATCTCTTCATTTACCTACTCATGAATATTCATTTAATTCCAGCTCCTGTGATGCATGGACCTTGTTGAGTGCATCCAGAGAGGGGCACTGGTCCAAGCCCCACACTTGAGCTGGGTTATACTTCCACTCATTAGCAAGACAAAATTAAGATTAATTTATTACTCCATGACCAGGATGGGAATTTGGCTGCCCAGTGTGGAAAGGTTGGGGTAAAGCTCACGTCTATTTTGGGCTGTTTATAGTCTGCTTCCTAGTTACCCTAGTTTGCCCTTTTCATCACTAAGAAGATGTGTTATTATGTAGTTAAAAATATTTCTAAATATACCAACTTCTCCCAATATTTAAGTGGAAATGGAGGTGCCTGGAGACACAGTCCAAGAACAGGGAAATGACTGCAAGAACAGTGAGATGGGCAGAAACTCAATCTTTCCTTTCAAAATACCTTATTTTGCACTTTGGAGGAATTCCTGCATGGCCCAGCTAACACACAATGTCCCACAGCAGAGATTCCCATCAGGAGGCATGGAAGAACAGCAGGGAGGACATAAGAAGGACATGGAACTTCTAAAGCAAGTCCAGAAGATGCCACAGAGATGCTCTGAGGGCTGGAGCCCCTCTGATCTGGACATGGACTGGGAGAGCTGGGGGTGTCCAGCCTGGAGAGCAGAAGGCTCTGAGGAGCCCTTAGAGCCTAAAGGGGCTCCAAGAAAGCTGGAGAGAGACTTGGGACAAGGGCCTGGAGGGACAGGCAGGACACGGGGTTAGATGGCATAGTGGAAGGAATTCTTCCCTGTGAGGGTGGTAAGGCTCTGGCCCAGGCTGCCCAGAGCAGCTGTGGCTGCCCCATCCCTGGAAGTGTCTGAGGCCAGGTTAGACAGGGCTTGGAGCAACCTGGGATAATGGAAGGTGTCTGTGTCCATGTCAGGACTGGAATGGGATGACCTTTAAGGTCCCTTTCCCACCCAAACCATACCATGATTCCATGAACTGCGGACAAACAAACTCTCTGGAGTTCAAGGACAAGAATCTGCCCTCCTGTTCCTCCCTACTGAAGAGATATCACAAACACAGTGCCTGGCATTCCTAATTTAAGGCATCTTGAGAAACCTTTGCGTGCCAGAAGCAGATGAGTGAGTGGGGCAGGGGTCAGGAGTTGGGGGGAGAAGCACAGGCACAAGGTCAGGGAAGTAATGGAAGGTAATTCCAGTGGGAATTACCTGTGAACATCTAGAAGATGTATGTGTCTGTGATGTCTCTTCAGAAGATGTCCTTGAATCCTTCTCTTCTCCAGGCTGGACACCCCCAGCTCTCCCAGTCTGTCTCCAGATCAGAGGAGGCCCAGCTTTCAGGGCATCTCTGTGACCTCCTCTGGATTTGCTTCAGAATGCTGGGAGCTGTTGATGGAGAGGGGCTGGGATGGACATGTATGGGGTGATGCCTGCACACCCTGGGGGAATGCCAACCCCGTGGGAGTGCAGCCACCATGCCTGTGCTGAGTGGCACAACATGAAATCTGCTGACACATGAGAAGGATTTGTCATCAGAGACCTCAGAGCTCTGAGCAGCTGGGAGAGAGCTCAGCACCTGCCTGGGGTGTTCTGGATGGCTCCATGTTCTCATTCCATCCTACAACAAAACAGGGGCTTCCTGTCTGGGGCTTCCTCAGAGAGAGGGGACCACTGGCTTCCTGCACTGTTTTTTGTGACTGCTCCTGTGGTCTGATGATCCATCCCACCCCACCCCATCCCATCCCATCCCATGGCCCCATGGTAGAGCACAGCCCTACTCCACCACCAGCACGATCTGATGTGCCAACACTGCAAGCTGGCATTTTCTAGGTGTTAATCCCAGATCCTAAAAATGGCAGGGAGGAAGTGGTGTAGGATATACTTTTTTCTTGGCCCCCAGGGATTGAAATAGAAGAAGAAAGTGAGTTCTGCCCTGTCCAGTTACTGCAATGCAATCAAACTGGGCCACTTTCACTGACAAACTTGATCTGTCACCAAATTGCTTTGTCTTCCATGGCCTGAAGCTCCTGAACTCAGAGAGTGGCAGGAGCTTTTCCAGGACCCACATGCTGATCTCCCCTCCAGCCAGAGCCCTATACCCTCTCCCAGGTGTAGGGAGGTGTCTCTCCTCCCTGGGCCATCCCTTTTCACATCCCAAGTCCTCTGCCACTGCACACACACTCTCAGGCATTTCCAAACAACATTATGTTTAACCAGGCAATTTCTCAGGTCTCTTTTTAACAAAACTCACAAATTTCCTCCCTTCCTCCTGGTAATGGACACTTCCCTATGCCAATTCCCAATAAACTTCTCATGTTCCAACAGTTAATACTGAAACAGCAACACAAGTGACCTCAAACCCAAGTGTCCCCCTCCAAAAAACAGCAGACTTTTCAGGATCACCTCTTGGGGTCACCTGCAAAACAATGGTCACTGGGATGACTGGTTCCACATAATAGCATTTCCCTCTACAGGCAGATTTGTCCTGTAGAACCTGCACTTCCTCACCACAGGGAAATCTTCCACTGGTGAGGAAATCGAGGCGGAGCTCTTGTGGTGAGGGGCGCAGCACGCACTGTCCTCCAGCCCATGCCAAGCTCCACATACAGAAGGTGAAAACTGCTCCTTATTCTCAGAGCCAGGCTGCCCAGGACAGAGGTGGGGAGGAACAATTTCATTCCCACTTCTCACAATATTTAGAAGGGAATAAGGGTGCCTAGGTCATAGTCAGGAGAGGACCCTCCTATATAATCTCCATAAATGTCCAGAAAGAGAAATTTCCAAGTGCTCTGGGGTACTTAGAGATTGATCTTCCAGCTGGAACACCCGGGGTACAGCTGGGTAACCTGGAATAGATCTGGAATCAGAGCCAGAGCAGAGGGGTAGCCACATAGCACTTGGCTCTGCTTGTGCTGCCAGCACTCCCCAGCCCTGCTCCGGCACAGCAGATGCAAATCCTGCCTGTGACATGAAACCAGGCCATGACCACATGGATCAGCTGCTGAAGAGTCACTGTCTTTCACTTTCTGGCTCAGCCTGCCATGAAAAACTAGGGAAACCAGATACTTCCCAGGCTTCCAAGCACAAAGCACATACCAAATATTCTTGGTGCAGAGGTTAATAAATGTTACAGAAAAGTAAGACTGGCGCACACTAAGGCACAACACAAAAAGAGGAGAAGGACTGACATGAAGCTCTCGAGCTCCAAGCAAACTCTTGCCAGGTACAGAGAGGGAGAGAAATGTACCCAAATCAAAGTAAAAGAAGGAATTTTAAGAGAATAATAAATGCAAAACAAACGTCATGGGGTAAAACCTGCTCCTCAATTCTGCTCATTCCAAAGAGCAGAATACATTTTTACATTTTTATTCCGCAAGAACTAGAGACTGCTTAATCTTTTGCATAATAAGAACTGAAAGGACCAAGAGTCGGGAGATCTCCAAAGGAGGAAAAAAACCCAAAAAACCAAAAACCAAAAACCAAAAAACGCAGCCCGTGGGATCGCTGTCACTGCACCAGCCCCTCCAGCAGCCTCCTGGGAATCCGAGCTCCACTCCCAGCCCTGCCCAGGGACGTTAGAGCAGGAGCAGGGAGAAAATTCCTGGCACCAGCACAGGTTTTGGCCTTGCTAGTAACACCGGGATTTTATGAGACACCCTGTTCCTTCCCGGAGTGCCTGGACCAGCTGCCTGGTCTCTCCAGAACAGCTATTCCTCCTCAGCAAGTGCACGCCTTTCTCGGGTTTTCAGTTTTCTATCTCATCCCTCACTCAGCCCGGGGGACAGCGGGGATTGAGGTGTGTTCCCACCTTTCCCGCAGCAGCACTTGGGGGATGTCACTTACGTCTACCGAGTGCTCCCGCTGCAGGAGCCTCCTGGTGTCCTTGTCGTGGTGGTTGAGCGTCGTGTCACAGTTTTGAGGGCCAGGTGAGGGGTTTTCTGATTGGTTTGTCTGACTGCCGTCCACAGGGATGCTCCCGTCCGCATCCACCACATCCAGCTCCTTTTCCAGCTCCTCCATCTCCTCTGGAGACAAAGTAGACAATAAATTGTCTATATCTGGATCTTCACTAACTTGTCGCCGGTATTTGGCCACTTTGGACATCTTGGCTCGCTGGCGAGACACGGTGGCGGTTGTGTGGTACCCAAAGTAGGAGAAAAAAACAAGCCGAAGCTCCAAAGCTGCTTCCCGAGCGGCAGCAGGTGATGAAGTGTTAAATCTCAGCAGCTCTCCAGCCCGGGATACGGTGGTTATCCAGAGGAGACACCCCTCGGTCCAAGAGTTGGCCAATAACAGGATCCAGTGGCGGTTCGGGCGCTGGGAAGCCAATGGAGCCCGGCGGGAGGCGGGGAATGGTGCTATCAGAGGAGCCTGAAACCCGAGGACATTCCAGGGAACCATGCAGAGCTACATGACCAAATTTAGTCCGAAGCATTTCGCCTTTTAAAGGCAATGGGCCAACCCAGTGAGAAAACAGGGAAAAATGCACCAGCCGGCAGGCCGGGAACGGGGGGTGGAGGAGGCAGCCCAGTCTGTGCCATGGGGGCTGGGGGGCTCCTAAAGTGGGCAGCGGAGCTCCGAAGGGATGGGGGAGTCTCTGCTGTGACAGTGGCAGCTCTTGGCTGAAATCGGCAAGGAAGCACCCACTTCAGAGGAAGTTTTCCTCTTTATCCCGCTGCAGTGTGGGATCGGTGCCGTTAGCCGACGCGCTCAGCCCCTCGGAAAAGAGCTGGAGGGGGTCGTGTTGGGGCAGACTGGTTCCATCGGAGGGATGGAGGGATGGAGGCAGCAGGTAGCGAGCGCTCCCGGCGCCGCAGACCTGACCCCCCCCGGGGATTGTCAGAGCTCCTACCGACCCTCAGACCCTGAGGGGCTGTTCCTGCAGCTGCTCTTCCTCACACACTCCCACTTCCCCTCGCCAAGAGGGGACACAGATGGAATTCCTGAATCTCCCCTGCTCCTGGTCCAGGCAGTGCTCTAAGCCTGGGCTTTGGCTGGCAGCTCCAACTCTCCATTTCCCCGATCCATACAGAAGCTTTACTGGCACTGTTCTCCTGCAGGAACAGCAGACAGACTTTTCCCTCCAAGTTTCCAGGCAGCTTTACCCCAAGTCCAGCATTTTGTACCCATTTTTTATCCTGCCAGCTTCATCCTGGTTTTCTTCATCCTTTATCATCCTCCTAATATTTTACTGCCTGCTCCCAGGCCTCTCTCTGCTTATCCAAGCAAGGAGCCCTCTGGTGTTTTTTGACAAAATAAGCTGCCCTAGGATTTTCCTCAGCCTAATCACCTCCTCTGCTTGTCTTCCTGGCCAGATCCCACCCTGCACATAGGCACCAGGTGCTCCAGGTGAGTCTCCTAGTGCTGTGTGTAACAAACTATACATTCTCCATCATGACAGGAAATGTACATTCTTGGTGCATTCCAGAATTTCCTTTATCTCCAGCACTGCAGTGCCCAGGTCCTGCTCATATCCTTCCTATGATTCACCAGCACGGCTGAGATTTTTTCCAGACTGTAGAAGAAACTGTTTGGTTTAGTTTCCAAGTGCACAAACTTAAACACTGCCGCGGTGGATTCCATCCCCACCACTTCTGTTTTCCTTATCGTGCAACCCTGGTCTTGGTGTTTGCTTGCACTGGGAGGGACACAGACATTCTCTTCCCCAGTTGGCCTCAGACACAGAATCATGGAATGGTTTGGGTTGGAAAGGACCTTAAAGCTCACCCTGTTCCACCCCCTACCATGGCAGGGACACCTTCCACTATCCCAGGTTCCTCCAAGCCCCGTCCAGCCTGACCTTTGACACTTCCAGGGATCCAGAGGCAGCCACAGCTTCTCTGGGCAACCTGTGCCAGGGCCTCACCACCCTTGCAGGGAACAGTTTCCTCCCAATATCGCATCTAACCCTGCCCTCTAGCAGTGGGAAGCCATCCCTTTGTCCTGTCACTTCAGTTCCGGATTAAAAGATCATCTCCATCTTTCTTAACTCTCCTTCCCCAGCACTGCCACAGCTGTGACAGTGCTGAGGGCAACAGAAACCACAGTGAATTTAGTGTTTGGTGTCCATTTGGTGCTGTCCTTGCCCAAAGAAGCCAAATGAGTGCCATGTTTGTTCTACCTTAACACATACCTGGATCTCTCTAAGGTCCTGTCTGGTCACTTTTCATTCCTGGAAAACATTTCCTGGAAATGTTTTAACACTGTGTTTTGGAAGAGAAATTTGTGTTACAGAGTGGAAGAAATTAACTGACAGGAGGGTCAGCTTAGGTGGGTGTCAGGCTCTTCTCTCAGGGAACAAGAGACAAGTCAAAAGAAAATGGCCTTAAGCTGCACCAGCAGAGCTTTAAGTTGGATATTGGGAAAATTTCTTCCCTGAAAGATTGCTCAGTCCTGGCACAGCTGCCCAGGGCAGTGGTGGAGTCCCCATTCCTGAAGGAATTTACTGGGTTAGTGGTAGTTCTGGGACAATAGTTAGACTTGATGATCTTAGAAAGCTTTTCCAACCTACACAAATCCATTATGCTATTCTATAAATGCCCAACCCTCCAGCATTTCTACGGTATTGTTGTGCTCAGTCATCAAGTGTTTACAAGAGATGAACAATAAACTGGAAGCTCATTTCCCATCTGGAAAGCGCACAACCAAAAGGTTATGAGGAATCACATCTTTGTGTCTGCCTCTTCTTGGAACAATCTGACAATTCCCAAGTGTGCCACCTCTGGCTGCAGGGACAGGACATGTAGACAGCCCTAGGGACAATCTGCAATGCTAAGCCAAAGAAAAAGTTCTTCTACTTAAAAGGGAAATCTAGAATTTTTGCTGTCTGCCTTTCCTTTGTAGTAAATCATTGCAAACTTTCTCATGTTGTAAATTAGTTTTCAACAGAATATAATCACTATCAACACCTTGATAAAATCTCTGTTTTGTCATTCCTGAACTTTCATTCTTGTGATGAGAAGTACCACACACCAAATTCGCTAAGAAGTTATGAATGTGGCCCGGGAGAAGCTTCTCCTGAAGTATCACCCATTCTTTCCTGATCCAGGAGTCCACAACTCCTGTACATTCCTCCCCTGCACTGCAGAGCTGGGCAGAGGTAGCACAGTGTTGCCCTGAAAACTAAAGCCTTCTAATAATGTTTTCATAGTTTTAGTTACTTTTCCCATGACAGTTCTATAAACATAAGTTGTTTATCACATTCCTTCTAAGAAACGTCTTTTGATAGATGTTTCGCATGACCAGTGTGCTTGTGAAGGTGGTAACTTAATTATCCAATCTCTGGTCATTGTTGAGAATCTATAAATGCTGGAGTCAGAGAATAAAGCTTCTTCTTTCCTGTTCTAACACTGAGAGGCATTTGTGTGAATCATTTTGTGTCCTTTAGCGACACACAGAGCATAATTTTGTGGGGAAATATCCCCACATTAGCAGAAAATCTGGGAAAGAAGCAGGGGACACGCCAAACTTGTCCAAAATCCACTTGGTTTAGAGTGGATGGTCTCACTGTGATTTATCTTGGCCATCACACAGCCCTTTTTAACTGGGATATTGGCACAGTTCAGTTAGACCCTATTCCACAGAGTTCTTGGGGCTGTAGAAAGAAAACAGCAGAAAGCAATTTTGTGTTTTCACCCCAGAATGAGAGGAGCTCTGGATATGTGACCGGTCATTCATGGGCTACCAACAACTGGGACTGGGGATGTCTTTGGGGACCCTTGGGCCATGCTCTGGAGTTGGTTCCAGCCACCACAGTGTGTAACAGGGAAGCACAGAATCCCAGAACCCCAGAATTGTTTGGATTGGAAGGAACCTCTGGAGATCACCCAGTCTGACCCCCTTGCCTGGGCAGGGTCACTTGGTGACACAGGAACACTTCCAGGTGGGTTTGGAGTATCTCCAGAGAAGGAGACCTGGGCAGCAGTTCCAGTGCTCTGCCCTCCTCCATGCAAGTAAGTTCTTCGTCATGTTGAGGTGGAACTTCTTGGGGTTTAGTTCATGGCCATTGGTTCTCATCCTGTCACTGGGCACCACTGAAAAGAGTCTGGCACTTTCCTCTGACACCCCTTGGAGATATTTGTCTGGATTGATGGGATCCTCTCTCACTGCTCTCTGGACTAACCAGGCCCAGTTTCTGAAGTCTCTCTTCATCAGAGAGATCATCCAGGCCCTATGTGTTCAGAGCAGTGGGATGCAGTGTGGCTTAGCACACAGGAGCTCTTGGCAGCTCTGAATTCATCAGTCCTGGACTTATTGGGATCCCATCTCCATAGCAAACAACACCTTGAGGGCACTAATGACTATTTCGAAACTACTGGCTTTGAAGCACCACAACAAGCCATTAGAGAGGAGGGACAGAGGCAGATTAAGCAGCTTTTCCAGGCATATTTACAAACTCTGGCAGAGCTGAGAAAGCTTTCTGTGCCTCTCTCATCACCACCTGGGACCATCCACTTGTCTTTATTCTTCCCTATTAGCTGATAAAGGACAGCTGAACTTTGGATGGATTCCTCTAGCCTGTTTTCTTTCGCCTTCCTTCACAGCCTGTAGGAGGAAAGGTTGAAAATGGATCTTTTTATAATTTTCTAAGCTGTTTGCTGAAAAGTGACATTTCCCTGCCTAGTCACAACAGGTGGTGGGTGTCTTGTGGCCAGCGAGAGAAATCACTTCTCTCCCAAACCCAATGCATCTTTATCCAAAACCAGACACATGCACACATGTCAGCAAGAGTGGAGAAGACTATTTCTTTTGGGAAATGAACCAAATCCTGGCTGTGGGGAAACTCAGAAACTCCAGAAATCCCTTGGATAATTTCCCTGAGCACCAAGGGTGCCACCAGGTCCCTTGGGTGATGCTGAAGCTCCTGCACCTCATGGACTCACCATGTTTCACCACCTCTCCCACAGCTTGTGAAAGGCAGGACCAGAAAGACCATTTGGCCTGATTTAATTAACCTACCACTCATTAGGTGAAAGGATAAGGGCTACAGCAAAGAATTGCCACCCCAAGAAGGATTGGACCAGTCACAAAATAATGGAATTGTTGAGTTTGGAAAAGCCCTCTAAGTTCCCCCAGCACTGCCAAGGCCATCACTAAACCATGTCCCCAGCTGCCGCATCCATATGTTTTTAAATCCCTCCAGAGATGGTGATTACACCACTGTCCTGGGCAGCTGTGTCAGGGCCTGACCAACCTTTCCAGGAAGACTTTTCCCCAGTATCCAAAGTGAACCTCCCCTGGCCCAGCTTAAGGCTGAAGGCTGTTTCCTCTTGA